GTATGTATGTATGTATGTATGTATCTATGTATCTATGTATCTATGTATCTATGTATCTATGTATCTATGTATCTATGTATCTATGTATGTATGTATGTATGTATGTATGTATGTATGTATGTATGTATGTGTGCATCTGCTGGCTCATGTGTAATCACCCCGACCCAGGCAAAAACAAAAAGACTGTGACAGCTCCACATACTTTTCAACAGGACTTATCGGACTTACAAGGGCTCCGGATTGTTCCAATCAAACCTAAGAAGGCGTCTTATCCTTTCCCCCTAATTACGGCATACATGTATACGCGCATATCTACATCCGTGGTCTTTGCATGTGTTCGTTTGTGTGATTTTGTGTGCGTGTGCATATGTATCACTGTCTGTTCCCCTGTCTCTTTTTGTCTTTCGCCAGGGCCAGGGGCAAGAAGGACAAGCCCCACTTACCCCCGCGCGTTAGCGCCCCCGACTGTTGCGGAGCGGCGGCGTTCGCCACCGAGGCAACGACTTCTAGGCAATGATTTTTGTTGTATCTCGGGCGTTGACTGCAATCAATGTCGGTAAAATGGAACACTTCCCGATGTTTCCCCTGTTGCCTCTGGGACACCTATTGACCTATTGAACTTGTCCCCTGTCGTTCTTTCTTTCTGCTGGGCTTTGGGATCGATTGCTCGACCCTCAGGCCTTTGGCCCGCCCAACCACCCACGTGTCCCCTGTCTCTCTCTGTTCTGTTCTGTTCTCCGGGGTTCGAGGAGCGTGTCAAGCTCTCTCTTCTTCCACAGGGGCAAAGGATCGTGTCAAGCCCCCTGGCCACATGGGCCCCCCAGTGTTTATGGGTACCCGGACCAGGTGTGAGACAGTGCACCGGGTGTCCCCCCACGTACCACGAAGTAAGTGTAGCAAACAACTGCGAACACTAACAGAACTCTAGACCATAGAACAGTAGGACGGGGGCAGGCCGGAGGCAAGTAGAGTCTTTGGGACACCTGCAATTCAGTTTTAAGTAAGGTCTAGGTAACCGCGACAGCTACGAGGACGGGGTTCAGGGCTACGGGGCATTTCCGGATCCCCCTCTCTGAGACGTTGGACCAATGTGAACAGCAAGATGAAGGCGACGTAACATAGAACAAGTTAAAAAAATGGGTCCCCCTGCTCTCAGGCTGCAAAACCGCTAAGTACAAGTTTAAAGAACTGAGGCTCCGGCCGGGGCGCAAAAGTCATTGAAAAGAGAACACTCACAGCAATGCTAGGCACCATAACTGTCAAAACACAAAGCTTCACTTCACTTCACTTCGGGGTCCAGGAGGCGTGTTAGGCCCCCCGCGCCGAGAGGCG